TAATTAAAATCATCTGAAATTTGAGAAAATACAAATACAAATAAGTGTGGATTATCATTTTGATGTTCATGGCCCAGAGGTAAAATAGACATAACGGAAATATGTGAACGTTTGGCGATGCAAAATCTCTGATTTTGAAGGTCGTGGTAATCGTTATCGCCGATAAAGTTAACCATACTTGATCCAAAAACTGCTGTTATTTTAAGGGGTGCAAAAAGTGTCTATTTTTTTGTTTGTTTTGCAAATCATTTATTAGCAGTAATTGCCAATTGGTACATTTGCATATTGTGTTGAAGTGGAAAATACGGTCTAATACGAAAACGTGGGAAACCATGGAAGCTGCGGTTATAGGAAGAATTCTTGTACTGAATGATCTACTAGATGCAGAAGATCAAGAAGAAAGGCCTTTAAGGAGATTTCACAGAAGAGAAAATCCCTTTGATTTAACGGATAATAAATTTATAAAACTATTTACATTAAGCAAAGATCTTGCTCGAAATTTAATTGATTGATTGACACCTTTTATACGGACTCCAACTAGAACTTCATCATTAAAAACTGTGGTAAAATCGGAGGTAAATTTTCCACTTTGAAGTTTCTCATTTTGCCTTACAAATTCAATGAGCATTTCTTTTTGAGTATGATTTACTTATAGGTGAACATCTTGATTTTTCCAAATTCATTTTCCACATAAACAAAACAGCACGAAAATAAAAATTGTAAATAAAATGATTAATGATTTGATTTTCAGTAAATAAATAAGCAAAGAATGAGATTACGTCCCAAAACACAAATAAAACAAACCCCTCGTTTTTATTCTAATCGGACTTTACCGATGAGTTAGCTATCTTTGTTTAGTGAATGGAAAATGATAATGACCGACATAGAATGGTGGAAAATTTGATGAGAATAAAAACGCAGGGATACCGGTTTTCTTCTTTCTCATGACATTCGTCCTTTTAACGCACCAAAATTGTGGCTAATTCTACATATTACTGTTGGCGCGTTATTATTTGACAAGTTTTCTCTCATTCTATCATAATCCCATACGTTCGAGAATACCAACTTTGGCATCAAGAGAACGAGCGTGCGATGTGATCTCTCACTTCTCCTAGGGGAACGTTCACTTCTACCAAATTCGAGAATCGACTACCTGTAGAAGAGAGATAAATCGCCCACAGATCTGCGATGTTCGAGACCATCCAAGTTACGAGTAAGTGCGGGGTCATTGATCAGCTTGATAGCTCGTTTTTGCACGGTATTCAAAAGCATTAAGGTATGTTTGGGCGCTGCACTCCATATATGTGAGCAGTACTCCATAGTTGGTCGAATCTGGGCTTTGTAGAGTGTCAGCAATTGGCTTGGTGTGTACAGATGTCTTGTACGAAATAGCACCCCCAGCTTTTGGGAGGCCCTTTTAGCAATATCTGCCACGTGATTGTGCCAAGACATGTTGGTCTCTGCAGTAACCCCCAAGATGTTCAACTGACTCTGTAATGTGACAGCACTTCCAGATAGCATGATGTTTGGCTCACCGGTGCTGGTCTTTTTTGAAAACAGAGCTGCTTGGGTTTTCTGCGCGTTGAACTGTACAAGGTTTTTGTTACCCCAGTCCTCTATTATCTCCAGGTCGTTATTTATCTGCGATATTTGAGTTAGTCTAAGATGATGGAATTCACGTGCGGAAAGACCTGTGGGTGGTATGAGTGAGGAGACTACATTGCCATCGTCTGCAAAGCAATAAAGTGGATTTACTGTTTTATCTATGAGGTCATTTATGTAAATCAGGAAAAGAGTTGGCGAAAGGATTGCTCCCTGTGGCACACCAGCATTTATTTGGTAAGAGTTGGAGTTCTGGCCATCCAGTGCAACATAAATGGATCTGTCCTTTAGGTAACTTTCAAACCAAGTGCAAAGTTTCGGCGATAATCCCATTGCTTTGAGCTTGTTGAGCAGATTTTCATGCCAAACTTTGTCGAATGCTTTAGATATATCTAAGGCAATTGTTCTTGTTTCACCCCGCAACTCAATCGCTTTTTGCCATAAGTGAGTGACGTATGTAAGTAAATCGCCAGTTGACCTATATTTTCGAAATCCGTATTGCTTATCGTTGATAATTTTGTACTTTTCCAAGGCATGGCTCTACGCTTTCGTATTTTTGATTATTATAAGTACCTAGGTATTTGTTATCTGAAAAAGTAGACTATTAAATACCTAAGTTGAATACCCTATTTTTAATAAACACTTATTTGCAAAGGGAAAAAGTTTGGCTATCTTTTGCCTCCAGCGTTATCTACCTCCAGAAGCTCGCGGGGCCGCTAGAGCAATACCCGTCCCGGGCCGATTCAAAGTTGCCCATCCGCCCCTGCTGGATTCAATTATAGCCTCTTTAAATATTCGCTTTTCTCAAGAACATACTCCAGCGTTTGCCTTAACAAAAATACATCCATTATATATGCTCGACATGGAAACCAATCAAGTAGAACAAAATGCACAATATTTTACCCAGTTTTATAAATTGGACGATATTACTGCGGAAATGGACCTATGGTATAATTTGTGGAAGGAAAAAAAGTCAACTGAGGACCAGCTAAAAGACGTCGAAATAACTGACCTTCTCGACGAGACCGATGTTTTTTATCCCATCCTAAAACAGGCACTTTTGATTTTAATCACAATTCCATGCACCACGGCCACTGTAGAACGATCCTTCAGTACTCTTCGAAGAGTGAAGACTTGGTTGAGAAGTACCATAGGAGAGGAAAGGTTAACAGGATTATGTCTCATGAGTGTGCATCGTGATTTAATTAAATCAAATCGAGAGCAATTTGAAAATCAAGTTTTAAATAAATTTGCGACAAATCCAAGAAAATTGTTATTGAAGTAAAAATTAAGCGAGTTATGTCAAAATTTAGTAATTAAAAAGAGAAATTCAAAATCCATTGTTTTTTTTTTTTTTTGGTCAGCCCCCCCCCTATTTCAGATCCTGGGTACGCCCTTGACAAAATACGTATTTACATTATTTAGAAAGAAAACCCACCCCAGCAAAAATGTTTGCAGCAAACCTTTAATTGTACATTATTATTGTATTTGATATAAAAATCGTTATTTTACGAACCCTCAAATCTCTGTCCCAACTTAAATCGTCTTCATTCGGGTTGAGAGCACGTAACTATTGTTTTCTTACAATTTAATTGCCTGGGAACTTGTGAAAAGAAAGGTTTCACTTCTTTTTCGCCTAATTCTGACAAGAACTCATTCAACTCATTTGAACCATTGTATCATAAACAGTGTTTTTATTAATTTTCAGCAATATTGATTGATACCACATTGATACTGATTGATTATTGAGGTTAGCTTAAATACGTCAGGGTCAGACCGTGTTCAGTAAATTGACGATTTAATTAGGTCTGTTCGCAGAGAAATCACAAACCAGTCAGAGTGAATCTTATTGGTTGAAACTAGGTTTCTGACTGTTTCTGATTGTTTTCAACCAATGAAATTCGCTCTGACTGGTTTGTGATTGCTGTGCGAACAGGCCTATTATATCTGTCACCCAGAAGATGCACGCGCAGCACAGGTAAAATGAGAAAGGTCCATTGAAAAGTGCTTGAGGCACATAAAAAGTGCTTGGGAAGCCGTAAAAAGTGCTTTGAAGCTCTTTGAATGTGCTTGAAGTTCTTTAAATTTGCTTGAAGCTCTTTAAATGTGCTTGAAGCTCTTTAAATTCTCTTGAAGCTCTTCAAATGTGCCTAAAGCACTTTATCAAATTCGTAATAAAATTCTCAAATAAGTGGCATAAGCTACTTCGTACACTCATCAGTTGAATTAGTATAGTATAGAGATGAACTTTAAATTTCACAGAGTAGCAGTAGTAGTTTTTTTTTTTGAGATGTAGTTCTGGGGTACTACATAGTAATTCAATTTTTAGGTTTTCAAAATGTTTTATGAGGAAAAGTGAAAAAAAAAATGCAGTAAGTATGAGACAGGTTAAATGATGGTTAATTCCAATTCCTTCCAAAGTGCTTCAAGCCCTTTCAAAGTGCTTTAAGCACCCAATAGTGCTTCAAGCCTTCTAAAAGTATTTGAAGCTCATTGAAAGGGCTTGAATTACTTTTTTTCAATTACAAATTACCAAGCACTTTTCTAAAGTAGGTAATTGACTTTGCAAGCCCCAATTACAAATATATAAAAGGGCTTGGAGCACAGTACTTTCAAGTCCTCAAAGTGTTTCAAGCACTTTCACAAGCACAAAGCACTCAAGCGTCAATCTCCCATTAAGCCCAATTTATAAACTCACCGTCGAGATTCTGTTTGCGTTTGCGTCGAGCCAATTGAATATTAGAAATCCCATAAAATCATTTATACTCGCCGTCGGTCTCACAGTTCGCCGTCAGCATAAGAGACTACGATAACCAACAAGGCGGACGCAAACGCAGACGAAAACGGAATCCCGACGGCGAGTTTATAAATTGAGTTTTAGCCTACTGCTGTTTTTGGGCAATAAGGTATCCCAGAAGTCATCAATCAACCAACCTCAGGATTATAGGAACAGGAAACCGAAGATCTGAAGCTGATTTTGGATTCTGAGCAGAACATTCGAAAGAGCTGTATGTAGGTGCTCAGAGCCAAGCATGTCACCAAATGGATTCAAAACGAATAATTGAAGCATTCCATTGATAGCTTTTGGTTGTGTAATTAATTACAGGAGTCTAGGTATTTTTGATAGAATCGTTGATTATACAATTCTCAGGCAGAAAAACCACAGAACACTTTTCATTCTTACCAAATTTTGGTCAAGGGCTCAACTAGCGGTTAGAGAGTGCAGGACAGGGTGGCCAACAAACCAACTTCGGCAAAACCCCAAAAGAAGAAACATATCTTATGAAACTTGGGAAAATGTACCCCTATAGAAATATCCTTGACCGCCCCCTTTTTAGATTTCAAATTCATTTTGTCGCTTATTTATTCAATTGAACATAGGAACAATAAAACACAAATGACATTTAACTTAAAAATTACTATTTATTTGCAAATAAAAAGTAGGGAAAACTTCAAATGCTCAGCACTTGAGGACAAAAAAATAATAAATAAATTACCTATTTATTTTGATACAAAAAAAGAATCAAAAATACAAAACAATTATTAACACCTGGCGCCCTCTCTCGTTCACACATTTATCACACACAAATATTCAAATGTTTTTAAACAAAATTTGAAATCAGTCTTTTCCTTAACGGGAATTTTCTATAGTTCGTCTCTGAGTTCGTCATCGTCATCTCCTGCTGATGGTGGTGGCGGCGCTCCACCCGAAGACTGGTACAGTTTGGCGATAATGGGTTGCACAATATCTTCCAGTTCTTTCTTCTGTTTTTTGTAATCTTCCGAGTCTGTATCTTGGTTTTCTTCTAACCATTTGATTTTCTCATCGATGGCTTCTTCCATTTTAGCTTTTTCTTCGTCACTCACTTTAGCTCCCAATTTATCTTTATCGCCCAATTGGTTCTTTAGAGAGTAAGCGTAACTTTCAAGTTCATTTCTAGCTTCAACTCTTTCTTTTAGTTTCTTGTCTTCATCGGCGAATTTCTCAGCATCTCTGATCATTCTGTCAATATCATCAGGTGTTAACCTGTTTTGGTCGTTGGTGATGACAATCTTTTCCCTGTTACCAGTACCCTTATCTTCGGCAGATACTTGCAAAATACCATTGGCATCGATTTCAAAAGTAACTTCAATTTGTGGTACTCCTCTTGGTGCTGGTGGGATTCCAGTAAGATCGAATTTACCCAAAAGATGGTTGTCTTTGGTCATTGGACGTTCACCTTCATATACTTGGATTGTCACAGTGTGCTGATTATCAGAAGCGGTACTGAAAATTTGAGATTTCTTGGTTGGAATGACAGTGTTTCTTGGAATCAGTTTGGTCATTACTCCTCCTACAGTTTCAATACCCATAGTCAAAGGATTGACGTCCAACAATACAATAGCGTCAGTGTCTTGTTCACCACTAAGTACACCAGCTTGTACTGCAGCTCCATAAGCAACAGCTTCATCAGGGTTGATACCTCTGGATGGTTCTTTGCCGCCAAAGAATTCTTTGACCAATTGTTGAACTTTAGGGATACGAGTTGAGCCTCCTACCAAGACAATTTCATCAACATCTTTTTTGTTCATGTCAGCATCTTCCATGACTTTTTGTACAGGTTTCAAAGTGGATCTGAACAAGTCCATGTTCAACTCTTCAAACTTGGCTCTGGTAAGAGTTTCAGAGAAATCGTCACCTTCGAAGAAACTTTCAATTTCGATCCTCACTTGATGACTGGCAGACAAAGCTCTCTTGGCCTTTTCAACTTCACGTCTCAGTTTCTGCACTGCCCTGTTGTCTTTCCTGATGTCCTTGCCCTTCTTCTTCTTGTACAATTTGATAAAGTGATCCATGACTCTTTGATCGAAATCTTCACCACCCAAGTGAGTGTCTCCGTTGGTAGCTACGACTTCGAATACTCCATTGTCAATGGTAAGGAGGGACACATCGAAGGTACCACCACCCAAATCAAAGACCAAAACGTTTTTTTCGCCGTCTTTTTTGTCGAGACCGTAGGCAATTGCTGCAGCTGTTGGTTCGTTGATGATTCTCATAACAGTCAAACCTGGAAAATAGAAAAATAAATTATTTAATTAATAGTTACTTTACAAGTATGGCATAAGCAATATGATAGTGAGGAATGTGGGACACTGTCTCTAACAAATGAGGAATGTGGTAATCTATATTTTAACAAAAATTTCCATTGAATTTGAACAACGATTCTTACCAGCAATGGTTCCTGCATCCTTGGTAGCTTGACGTTGGGCATCGTTGAAGTAAGCAGGCACAGTGACGACAGCGTGAGTTACTTTCTTGCTCAAATAGGCTTCAGCGGTTTCCTTCATTTTAACCAAAACCATAGCTGAGATTTCTTCAGGGGCAAATACTTTTTCGCCCTGACTAGTTTCAACCTTAACATGAGGTTTGCCGCTCTTCTCGATAACCTATAAAAGCAAATTATGCAAATTAATACAAAAAATGTATAAGGCACACTAATAGGTCTTACCCTGAATGGGAAGAATTTAACATCATGTTGGACAGCTGAGTCACCCCAATCGCGACCAATCAGACGTTTGGCATCGAAAACGGTATTTTCTGGATTGGTGGTAAGTTGATTTTTGGCAGCGTCACCAATGAGACGTTCACCATCGGCTGTGAACGCTACATAAGATGGGGTAATACGGTTTCCTTGGTCATTGGCAATGATTTCCACTCGTCCATTTTTGTAGACACCAACACTGAAATAAAAAAATAAAAAATGTATTAGATAATTTTAAAAATTTTGATAATACTTTGGACTAAGCCTTGAAAATGTATTGCATAAGTTGATTATAAAATGATATAAACACAGGGATTAGTTTGTCAAGATAATAGGGATTGTTGACTTTAGTGGCTTTATGTTATGAATAAATAATGTGGAACTTTTTTTCAAGGGCTACTCAGAAAATATTGAATACACTATTGAAATGAACAAAGTATGTAATACACAATAATAATTTCAGAAGTTTAAAACCCATGGTAAAACCCTATAACATGCCTGCAACTTCAATAAATTTTTTCTCAATTTTTGTTTTTTTCTCTAATTTTCTATTCCAGGCTCTGGAATTTTCCTTATTTTTACACTACAGCTGTCGGCTCATTGTATTATCCTGTTTGTTTAGTCAGTGAAAAGTTTTGTGACCTGGATCAGGTTTAGGAGCCTCTTCACCATGTGGCTATTGATGAGTTTAAAGATAGGGTCTTCTGGCCCTATCTGTCTGTATCTCCACCTCCACCAGCGTCACAGATCACCTAATACAGATGCGAAAGTATGTATACTTGCTGTCGACGATATTCTGTGACGAAGCCGGGCCGCCAGCCAGCGGCCCCATGCATAGATAAAGATCGCCCGCGTCAGGACAATTAACGTGGCCGAGTGCGTGAGCATGTTCCAGCCTGTGTGTTTACATATTTTTGAGGGGTAGAAAAAAAATTTTTTGCTGTTTGTGAACCAATTGAAGAAATAATATATTATTGAGCTTCCGCATTTATATAATAAATATGTTCAAAATACATTGATGTGGCATTGGTGCGGCCAGCCTATGTCTATCAAATTAATCTTGAACCACGAATTCGCCGCTCTTTCGCATCTGTATGTAAGTAATCTGTGCCAGCGTAAAGCCTCACATTCGAAGACTATGTGGGTGGCAGGTTCATCCTCCCTATAGTATCTTTAGTAATAGTTCTAATTTAATTACTTTTATTTATCCAACAGATGTCAACACTTGGATGTTTGTGAGATTTATAGGCAGTGGCCACAGTTTTTTTTTGTGTGGAAATAAATAACAAGTTGTCTAGTTATATATATGCTTTATTGATTAAAGCCTTAAAGCCACAATGTCTCATTAACAAAGCTAATATAGAAATGAATATAAAAATTCGTAGAAAAATAGACAAAACGATTTAAATGAAATTAAAAATACATACCTACATCTCAACAAGAGAACATAAACAATTTTTTTAAGCAATTTGATAGATCAAAATTAAGATCATACTCTATAGATATAAATAATGTAATCGACCAGTGGGATAGTTTTGAAAATATGTATAATGGTGATATTCAATGAGAATTTTCATTAAAAAAAAAAAAAACAATAAATCAAATCTGTACTCCCATTGGGCGGCTAGTTATCCACCGACCAATAGAATTATAGAACGGTAAATTTATCTTGCAGAGTTACCAGCAAGTTTATTTGAAGATACCGTTCTATAATTTTATTGGTCGGTGAAAAACTGGCCGACCAATGGGATTAGAAATTCGGTTTTCAACTGTCAGATTGCATACCTGACAGCGAGCCTGACAGTTTATCAGAAGGTGAATAAACCGGCCCTCAGTCTGATAACAAAATCAAATGTATGGGGGCTATTACTAAACAAATAACAGTAAGAGCTTATTCTAAGAACGAAATTGGTAAGGGAAGTGCTGAAAAAGTTGCAAACGACTATAAATACATTTTGGTATATACAGGGTGTTAATAAATACTGGGATCAAACTTCTAGGATAAATAGTACTCATTAAAATAAAGAAAAAGTTAATAAAAACATGGGTCCGCAAATGCTTAGTTTTTGAGATACAGGGTGTCAAACTTTGAAAAGAAAAAATGTTTCTTTTTGCTCAACAATCCCTTTGCCGATTTTCTTTAAATTTGGCAGGTTTGTTTGTAAAAACAACAGGTACCTTTTGACCCAATCAGATTTACCGTAATTATTCCAGTGGCGCCCCAGAGGGCAACTACAAGAGAGATACGAAAAAATCGAGAGACAAAAAAAATTTAATATGAATTGATTTATCTAAAAAAAAAAATATATCAAAATTAATTAAAAGCAGTGACGTGCCATTTTTTTTCTACTTTTACCAAGGTAGTTGTCCTCTGGGGCGCCACTGGAATAATTACGGTAAATCTGATTGGGTCAAAAGATACCTTCTTTTACAAACAAACCTGCCAAACTTAATGAAAATCGGCAAAGGGATTTTCGAGGAAAAAAACATTTTTTTTTTCAAAGTTTGACACCCTGTATCTCAAAAAGTAAGCATTTGTGAACCCATGTTTCTATTAATTTTTATTTTATTTTAATGAGAACTATTTATCCTAGAAGTTTGATCCCATTATTTATTAACACCCTGTACTATATACACAGTGATTGTCGTAGCCTGTACATTAGAATTCAATTGGATTGCAGGTGGATTCGTAGAGAGAGCATGTAATCCACCTGCAATCTAATGAACGGGCTACATAAATCACCCTGTATATAGTATCTATTATACTAAAAACAGTTGATCATCTACCTCACACTTGCAATATTTTGACAAATAATTTGCAATCTTTTTAATACCAATTATTATTACAGAAATTAGTGAATTGGCAACAGAAATAAAAAATAAATATAGTACTGAGTGGGGTGGATGAGATACCTACAAGCATAATAAAAGTGTAAAGTGTCTATAGTATAGAAAAAGTCAATAACATACTTTGCTATTTGATCACTAGTTCTTTCAAGAATGGGATGACAGTTACAGGTTTATCAGCCTTTTGCCATTATTTCCAAACTTTTTGAGCTTGCCATGTGCAAAAGACTTCTAAAATGTATGAACGACTGTAACTTGTTCAACAGTAACCAGCAATCTATCAGCTTATAACGCTTATCCCTCGGCTTATCCTTAATTTTTTTGAAAGCGAAGAGGGAGTGATGGGCACGTTCCTCGATCTGTCAAAGGCATATGACTGCCTCGACCGAAAATCACTTTTGGGCAAATTTGGAATAAGGGGGAGGGCCTGCATTGGCTTGAGTCATATCTTGATAATCATGGAGAAATTGTAAGTGTTATTAAAAATGGTACAAAATCTAAGACACTTTATAATGAAACTAGTATGGCTCAGGGCAGTATTATGAAACCTCCCCTATTTGTAATATTATAAACGATACATATACAGGGTGTCCCAAATTCAAGGGTGACCATTGAGATATAGGAAACTATAAGATATATGAGGTCAGTTAAATTATGGCAAAGTTGCGTAATTTTATGATCAATAAAATGCCGTTTTGAAATTTGAAACATTTTGAATACTTCCGAAGATATTCGGAATAAACCGAAATTTTGCAAAATCATTTTTATTTTTTCCTGAGTCTATTTGAAGAGCAATTTTAAAATAAATGTCACTTCATCGGTGTCACTTTTACCCCTTTATAAGATGTTGCTACCAAATTTCAGATTCGACGTTTAGTCTTTGGGCTATCATCATCAACTTAATTTTTTTAAATACGGACCTGAATATTTTATTTCTGATTTTAAGAGCTTCTGACGTCCCAAAACCTATGGCGTATAGCATTTATCCGATTATTTTTTTTTTTACTTTTAAGTAATTTCCTATTAAAATTCTCCTATCTGTCTCTCTCTAACACATTAAGCTCTTATGGAAAGTGCCAATAATATAAATTTTTCAAATAAGTGCAATACGTCATTGGTTTTGGGATATCAGGAGGTCTTAAAATCCGCTCCGCTTAAAATCCCCTGTACAGGGTGTCCCAAATTCGAGGGTGACCATTGAGATATCGGAAACTATAAGAGAAACGAAGTCGGTTAAATTATGGCAAAGTTGCGCAATTTTATGACCAATAAAATGCCGTTTTGAAATTTGAAAAATTCCTAATATTCCGAAGATATTCGGAAAAAAACAAAATTTCCCCCAAAGACAAAACGTCGAATCTGAAATTTGGTAGCAACATCTTGTAAAGAGAAAAAAGTGACAATGATGAAGTGATATTTATTTTAAAATTGCTCTTCAAATAGAGTCAGGAAAAAATAAAAATGATTTTGCAAAATTTTGGTTTTTTCCGAATATCTTCGGAAGTATTTGGAATTTTTCAAATTTCAAAACGGCATTTTATTGGTTATAAAATTGCGCAACTTTGTCATAATTTAACCGACCTCGTATCTCTCATAGCTTCCGATATCTCAATGGTGACCCTCGAATTTGGGACACCCTGTACATGACATTAAATTATGCGGATGATACGAATTTGTTGACTGCTGTTAAGGGTCTGTGTCAGATTTTGGGGAATAGTAAACATTTTCTAGATAAAGTAACAGAATGGCTTATTGAAAACCCTGTTGAAAATAGGTTAATTCTTAACAAAGATAAGACAAACATCCTACTTTTTAAAACCCAACAATCTAACATGGGAAAGACTGATAATGTCAATTTGTCAAGTGGCAACTTGAAGAGTTTTGGAGAATAAAGGGTTTTTGGGATTGTGTCTGAATGAGAATTTGGACTGGTCTTTTCATGTCAGTAGCCTTGTAAATAAGTTGATAGAACATCAGCCAATGACATATTTTGTTGACCAATTTTCTCTCTTCAGGGATTTCAACCACTGAAAATTATGTCTGTGCTGAGCTCAAAAAATGAAAATTTAGCGGCCGGACGTCTGCTAGGCATATGGAAAATTTATTTTCCTCTTGCAGAAAAAAATAGGTTATTTTTTCAATTTTTCTTTCATGGCATTTTAACTCATCAACATTATAGAACAATCTAATAGTGAAAACCTCGGTGAAAACCTAAAGCCCTAAGGTTTGCACGTACTGGCAGGGTTGAAATAAGGGCGCGATCTTGTGAAAGAATATTCAGTGGCTGATCGTTTTCTCGCTTATGGCAATCAACAGAATCAAATTTGATATCGTTAGGAACCAGAAAAAAAA